CCAGGGGGTTTGGAAGCTCCACATTTTGTTTGGGTACCACAACATTCTCACTCATTTCTAAGTGCTACACTTTAGCTAGAGGAGTAGAACTGTGAAAGGAAACTGCTGTTTAGTTACTTTCTATCTATCGATGTTGACATGAAGAGGCAACTACAGTTGTGTTATGCCCGATGGTTACAAATGTAACTGGGCAATAAGCGATAAATACCTTTCTTCCTCTTTTTGTTTTTCCTCAGCTTCTTTCTCTTTACGTTTCTGTTCTTCTCTCTGTTTTTCAAGCTCTTGAAGCTTTTGCCTTTCAAGCTGACGTTTCTTAATCGATGCATCACTGAGATGTTTCGTCGAGTCAAAAGAAACCTTTACAGGATACAATTGAAAACAGATTTAAGCAGACAAAAAAAAAAAAGAATCCCCGACAATCTGTAGAATCCACAACAATTTTAACCTAGCACAAAGGCATCCAAACCACAGTGTAAGTACAATCAGAAATAGAAAACCTATTTCAAAACAAAGGGAACTTCTCTATATGCCCAGAGCAAGCACCACAGTACTATAACCAGGTAACTGGGAACTAAATGTCTCCACTCCAGCACAAACAGGTACCAGCTTACACTTTTGTGTGTCTCTGATAGCCAAAAACTAAACCCTAGTGTGGTTTAGGCCCCAGCTGTCCAATGTGTTCAACCTGTCAGAACAGGAACATACAGAACTCTTTCAACTCATGTATGCTACTAGGTACTGTACAGCACTAGGCAGAAATAAAGGCCTCCCTTTCTAAAACTGTGACCCTCAAGTTCAGCAGAAGAAACAGGTCTACAGCATTCAGCACCTCATTTAAGCAAGTGCCTCCCCACCAACTCTAGCACCAAGATTCCCAAATCGAGGTAAACCTGGCTGAAGCTCCAAGTTTGAGACTGGGAACACAAGAGAAAAGGGAGTTACACACACCTGAGCAATGAGACCTGGGAAACGCTCAGCTTCCAGGACATATGAGCACACCTTGGCCACGTCCAGCTGTGCGCTGGAACAGGACACCAGCAGACAGCACGGTCCTGGTGCCCCATGTCCCATGCCAGATACCACCTGCGTGCAGGCAGGCAGGCAGGCAGGCAGGGGTCTAACCTATTCCCGCAGGCCCATTGTCACAAACCATGGGGCGGAGAACAAGGAGCACATACTCTGCAGTTTAATTCACCCAGGCTCTGTGTAAAATGATGCTTCACTGACAGGCTGAAAGGCTAGACAGGTAGAAACAGACAAGGTGTTCTGACCTTGTGTGAGAGAGATCTGTCCTGACAGCACAGTCACAAACACAGCCCTCCCCCTCTCCTATCAACCTCAGGGCAGCTGCCAAGAAGGCACGCTTACACTTGCACGGCCAAACTAAATTTGGGAACCCTGATCCCCTGCATGTAAGTGACAGTTTGAATTTCACATCCCCTTGAAAACCTTGACGGTCAAGGTACAGACAGTTTCTATTCTGCAACTGACAGACTTCGATAACGAGATAAAAAGATTGTAGTATTTTACTTTACCGACTAAACTACAACTTGAATAAATGTTTGTGTGTTCCCACATCACACATAGAAGCACTCAAGCTTCTTCCTGCAATATGCTTTCTGATTTGCTGGATGACTATACGGAAACGAGGAGCACTCAAGCTTCTTCCTGCAATACACTTTCTGATTTGCTGGATGACTATACGGAAACACACTCACCAACATTTCCCTCAACTGACGTGCAAAAGCACAGACCACCCCCAAACCAGAGCAAGTTTTCTTCAGGCCACGCTCTCATAGGTACTACATCTGAACAGACTCTCTTGTTCCCTCCTGTCACAGAGGTATTTTCTAAGACAACGAGGTTACAGAAAAAAAATCTGAAAGACTCAGTGGGTAGGTATTATGAACCAAGCATATTGCATCCACAGGGAAGTGTACTACAGCTTAACATTATCACTTAAGTTTTTGTGGAGCTTTTCTGTACGTGAAGTACGCTAACGATGAACTGTGTATTACCCAGGCTGTACAGGCCACGTGCTACTGAATTTCACAGTTCTGACACTTGTCTGGTGGACCTCATTATCAATGCAGGGACCAAATACAGAGGCTGTGAAATTCTCCCCCCAGATTTCTATTTGTAGTGAACACAAGAGAGAACAATGCACTTTAAAGTCAGCTTTCTGGTGAAATATGTCTGAACTTGCTCAGAATTAGAAATTTAAGTGAAACGACATGATTTATAAATACATACTACTTTCTTAAAACTATTTAGCAGGTCGTGTTCGTACACTTGATCCTTCCATCAAACATTTCTCATTTCTAGAGCTGTCTTGTTAAAAAAAAAAGAAAAAGCAAAACCTCACTCACTTTGATCACACAGTCTAACACCACATTTTTCTTCCATTATTTTCCTTGAAAATTCTATTATGGCTGTTCCATTAGTGCTGTTAATGCCACCTGTTGCCATCACTACAGTAAACAGATGTAGGTTTTAAGCACTAGGGAAATAACACTGAGCTGTACTTGGTCTTTCACGTGGGTTCCCACAAGAAAGCCTGCAGTTTCTCACCTTTATATTGCAAGCCACTGCTTTGCCGTCATCGCCTTTATACATCAGCTTCATCCCTCGCAGGGCGTTCATGGCCTTAATGAAACCTGCGTACTCTCGGTACTGAACATACGCTTCAAAATTTAAATGGCCTCCAAAACTAAAGGTGTGAAAATTTCTGCCAGTCATTTCTTCTCTGTAAGGGTCCAGCATGGGTATGTCCACATTACGTATTTCTCCAAATTTCTTGAAAACTTTTATAAGGACTTCTTCACTCGGCTTCTCTGAGCCAGAGTCCTTTGCTGCAAACCACTTGCAAGGTAAGCCCTCTAAGTGAATGGTATCTGGCCTCTCCCCCGGCAAAGTTTCGTTCATATCTTTCGCATCACGGAAAAACGAGTCCCAGTCGTGCCTGGTAGGAAAGTCAATCTTATATTCCGCAGCACGGACTTTCAAAATGTCAGAGAAGCCACTCAGCTTTATTGTTTTGCCGTCGAGGCATGCCAGAAAAGATTTAACCAAACTTTTGTTTTCAACCTCTCCTTCAAACCGGATGAAATCCATTGTGCTTTTAGAGATTCGCAGAGTGGAAAACTGATGAGTTTGCACCATCCCTTTCAGTCTTTCCATCACTTCCCAGTTTGAAATGGATTTTCCTGGCTGTTTCAGCTGAGGAAGTGCCACACTGATGGTCATTTTTGTAATGGGTTTAAGGTATAACCCACAGGGAGCACAGAGCTCTACAGCTTCTGATGTATCATGAACTATTGTTGCAGCAGCCATAACACAGAAAAAGCATAGGATAAAAAAAAAAATAAAAGATGCAAGTTTAAGTTGCAGGCCAACAGTAGTTAAATAAAATAGCCCTTATCCGCAAATAATTGAATTCTTTGGCCATTTAACCATTCCCAAGCTAAAACGTCTCTTAACATAACAGTCAATTAGAGAATTAAAACTGAGTAGTACGAACATCTTAAATTACTTTTAACCACTAGAGCCTATAAGTAATTAAACCTCAGCAAGGCCTCAGAA